ATATATATATATATATATATATATATATATATATATGATTACATGTATGTATATATATATACAATATATATATATATGTGTGTGTGTGTGTGTGTGTGTGTGTGTGTGTGTGTGTGTGTGCGTGTGTGTGTGTGTGTGTGTGTGTGTGTGTGTGTGTGCGTGTGTGTGTGTGCGTGTGTGTGTGTGTGTGTGTGTGTGTGTGTGTGTGTGTGTGTGTGTGTGTGTGTGTGTGTGTGTGTGTGTGTGTATGCTCCCGAGTATATCTTCCACTTTTGTCTGTTCCCTAATCCATGTTGCCCTCATCCGATCTCTTATACTAATTCTCAGCATCAACCTCTCCATCCCTCTCTGGGCACTTATTAGTTTCCTCTCCAGTAATTTGGTTGTAGCCCATGTCCCTGATCCACAGGTCATAGCTGGGAGGATGCATTGGTTAAAGACATAATGGCAAGGAGCCTTTTAGTATGCAACTGTGTCTGCCGAAGGCACTCCAGCTTAGACTGATGCGTCGCTTAATTTCCTCTTCGCTAGATGTGCTTGTCTGTAGTAGTTGCCCTAGGTATATATACTTGTCTACCACCTCTAGCGCTTCGCCCTGTACATGTATTTCTTCGAATTGAACTCTACTGTTGAACATGATCTTAGTCTTTTTCTTGTTCATCCTAAGTCCGACTTTCAGGCTCTCTTTATTCAAATAATTTATTAGTTGCTGCATTTCATTTGTGGATTCACTGAAGAGAACAATGTCATCTGCAAATCTTAGATTCTTTAGGTATTCGTCCCCAATGTTGATACCCTTTCCGGTCCATTCTAGTTTCTTGAATATTTCCTCAAGGCAAGCTGTAAACAATTTTGGTGAGATGGTATCGCCCTGTCTAACACCTTTCTTAATTGGGATTTTATCGGTTTTTGTGTGAAGCTTGATGGTTGCTATCCCATCTTCATATATATCTTTATATATCTATATATCTATATCTAATATTTTGCAATATATCTCCTCTACTCCCTGTCTTCGAATAGCTTCTAGTATGCTGGTATTTGTACAGAGTCAAATGCCTTTTCCTAATCGATGAATGCCATACGCAGGGGTTTCCTATATTCGTTTATTTTCTCTCTTATTTGGGTAAGCGTGTGTATGTGGTCTGTTGTTGAGAATCCCCTGCGGAAGCCTGCCTGTTCTCTAGGCTGGTTAGAATCCAGACTGTCAGAGATGCGAGTTGTGATGATTTTAGTGAACAGTTTGTAAGTAACTGAAAGGGACTTATGGGTCGGTAGTTTTTTAGATCCTTCCTGTCCCCCTTTTATAATTGTTGCATTTTTCCAGGCTTTCGGAATTTGTCCATTGAGAAGGCATTTGTTAAAAAAGATTGGCTAGTTTCACTGTTGCAATATCTCCCGCGTCTATTATAAGGTCTATACTAATACCGTCTTCACCTGGTGTTTTGCCTCTCTTCATGCCTTCAAGTGCTCTCTTTATTTCTTCTGTTGTGATGTTAGGTACTTCTCTAGCTACTGCGTTCGCTTCTATCTGTGGCTGTTCATTTGCGTTGTATAGATCCCTGTAAAAGTTTTCCACTACTCTTATGATTTCATTCTTATTATATGTTACCTCTCCGTCTGATTTCTTTATTGCATATATTTGATTTCTCCCTATTCCTAGTCTCCTTTTAGCAGTTTTCATGCTGGTACCTGAGATCACTGTTTCATTTATTATTTGAGTATTGAATTTCCGTACATCTTCTCTCTTCCTTTTATTTGTAGTTTTTGTTAGTTCAGCTAATTCTATTTTGTCCCTATTCGACGATGCTCTCATGACCCTACGGTTTTGCATAAGTTCTTTAGTTTCTATTGAGAGCTTACTGGAGCTTTGTTTGACGTTCTTACCGCCTACTTCAAGTGCTGCTTCCTTTATTATGTCATTGAACTGTTTGTTGATCTGATCAATGTTGAGATCCTCGTCACTGAGAAGTGAATATCTGATTTGCTACCCTGAGGTTTACCTCTCCAATAGAGCACGTGTCCATCATTTAGTATCTTCTGTTCTTCGTCTAGTCTTCTAACTTCACAGAGTCCTACAACATCCCATTTAATGAAGGAGAGTTCCTCAAGTAATGCTAGTAAGTCGGATTCCGTTCTCATTGTCCTTATATTATATGTGCAAAGGTTCATCAACGTGGGGCGGCCTGTTTTTGGCCGGAGATTCTTAGCACCCTCTGCTCCGGAGCGTTCCTGATCGCCGCCGTAACCAGGGGCTCCTTCGCTTCCGGGGAATGAGGGCCGTTGCTCCGTTTGTGCAGTCATGGGTTTTGATTGTGAGGTGGACAGCCAAGTTACCTCTCACCTACTGGCCTAGGTGTATCTTGGTGGGAGGGGGAGTATTTTAGCCGGGATGCCACTGATAAGCCCTTCCAGCAAGGCTGGGCCTGTCTAGTGTGGACTTATGAGCAGCAACACACGGGCCTGCTCATTACACCAAGGAATACTCCCGTGAGCATGGGCTTGAGTATCAGATGTACGTATATGTGTGGTTGTATTTTATACACTAATTTTATTCATGCGTATGTGTGCTCAATGCAGACATAGTTGTTCACCCGCAAATGCCCTAAGTACTATGCATATGGTCATTTTCGTGCACAACCACATAAAAGTGTACACCTTTACAATGCTCCTATGCATATGATATGCAAAGGAGCATATCATTATGTACCACTACACCACATACACATATATAAACATAGGGCACTTCATATGCGCAAACATATGTAAGTACTCACCCACGCTTATGCACATGCATTCATGGGCCCTTATCTTGGATACATACTTATGACTATGAATATCCACACAAATATATATATACATATATGCACACACAAATTATATATTCATATGGGTGTATGAATATTAATGCATATGTATGTGCTAGAATGTACATGTGTATGTACATATATGTTTCTGTGGAGGTGCATATACATGTGTATAAGTATAAGTGTTTGTGTAGGTATATGGATATGGGTGTGTGTGTGTGTGTATATATATATATGTGTGTGTGTGTGTGTGTGTGTGTGTGTGTGTGTGTGTGTGTGTGTGTGTGTGTGTGTGTGTATGTATGTGTGTGTGTGTGTACACATACATACATACATACATACATATCTATATGTATGTATCTGTATATATCTGTAAATTATTGTTGTTGTTATTATTATTATAATCATTATTATCATTATTATCATCATATATATGTGTATATATATGCATATATAACATATATATAAGTATACATAAATATGTATATAAATATAAATATATATATATATATATATATATATATATATATATATATATATATATATATATATATATATGCATATATATATATATATATATATATATATATATATATATATATATATATATATATATATATATATATATAAATATGTATATATACAGATATATATGTTCACTCACATATAACATGTATATATATATATATATATATATATATATATATATATATATATATATATATATATATATACATATATATATACATACATATATATATATATATATATATATATATATATATATATATATATATATATATATATATATGTGTGTGTGTGTGTGTGTGTGCGTTATACGCTATACGTATGTGTACCCATACATGCACAGGTGTGTGTATGTATATATATATATATATATATATATATATATATATATATATATATATATATATATATATATACATATACATATACATATACATATACATATACATATACATATACATATATACAAGCATGTATACAAATATATAGGTATACATAGATATATGTATACATGTAAAGCATAGTTACAGTATACATGTATATGCATATATATGTATGTATGTATGTATGTATGTGTGTATGTATGTATATGTATATATATATATATATATATATATATATATATATATATATATATATATATATAAACATATATGTGTGTGTGTGTCTGTGTGTGTGTGATTCTTTTTTATCCCTGAATTCAGTATATATAAACCGAAGTCTGAAGTTGATAAATCAACTGACATTGTTTATAACATATACATGAATAAGCGAAAGAATAACAAAAACATGAGGTTTGGTAAGAGTAACAAATACATGTTACAAAATTATTGAGAAAATGTAGTTACTTTTTTATTTACATACCAAAAGCTTTACACTCGACGCCCCTCGAGTCCGCCGACGTCGTCTGCATTGCACGTGTACGAGGTCACAGGGACCGCCGCCCGGACTCGCGCTCCTCTAATTCTAACAGTTTCCAAGACAAATTACCAGCGACTATGAGTGCCATCAGCCGTGCTATGTACCGCCTCCAAGGCTCTCTGCTGCCGGGGGTCATGGGCGTTCGCAGTGTGGTGGCGCCGTCGCGAAACCTGACGAGGAACTTGGTGGTGATGTGCTCCAACGCCGGTCACGGCCGCCGCACGCAGCTCCGGTCCTCCACGCTGTGCTCCTGCGGCTGCGGGATCCACGGCATGCACACAAGAGGTGGGTGAAGGGCCGACCTGAGGCAGGGCAGGCCAGGGCGAATGTGGCCGAGACAGCCTTGCCGACTCGCACTGTTAGAAGAGCCTATGTTGGGGAATCCTCCCCTCAATCAGTCAGGCTTCAAGGAAAAAACAAGCATTGGGATTCGTAACACCAAAAAAGGGGATTTTCCCGGTAATTATTACCAAAAATAGATTTTTTATATTTTTCCTCAACCTATAGATCTTGGGGGGTGGGGGGATGCGTCGTGAACCGGGGTTGAAGGGGGGTGGGGGCTTAATGGATGGCACTAGATGTCAATAGGAACCTGCCGAAAGTGAGTTGTAAAACCTTAATAATCCATTTTTTTTTAAAACAGCCAAATTTTGTCCAAAAAAAAAGTTTGATTCAAGCAATGCAATTATAATAAATTGTTTAGTTGCACATGAGTAAACATTCTATCACGCAAACCCAAAAATCCAAACCTAACCATACCCATCTTCTATATATTCCTGAGAGAGAAGGGGAGGGGTTTGTCCTGCATTCTGTACCCAACTTCATGAGCACTGTGCCAAGTCACAACATATTTGTTATAGAAAAAAAAGTTGACACATGCTGTCAGTGTGGAGGGTACAGATGAGCTGCCCAATCACAAATAGGTCTGTGCAACTGGCACGCATGAAGCGAAATGTCAGCCTAGCCGCTGTAATGTTGCAAAAATTGCCCGTACCTGCCATAAAAAACATTTACCAGTAACTCTGTAATGCTCTATGATGATAAAAGCAGCACAATACTGATAAAATAATATTTGAATATAAAATCAAACCTATCACAGACCACAGAAGTTTGAAGGTCCTGCCATGGCAATAGCCGAAAGGAAACTAAAGAAGTGATTGAAAGCATGTATTATTTTGATATGGGAGGCAATTAAGGCAAACAAGCAGTAATATTGTTAAATAATTAAGAATGGATAATAGAAATGAAAAGGAAAACTAAAACTAGGCCCCTGCAGATGTACCTATATTGCTTCTTACTCTATTTTTTATGTTCCGTAAGATAATCCATTTTCCTTTATCTCTATCTCACAGCCACAGCTAATAATATCATGTTTTCTGACAGTCTGCGTGAAGTATTAATAAAAGGGGTACAGGGGGCTTGCCTCCTGTCTAGGGAGTAAATAGAAGGTAGGAAAGGTTAGGTTTGGATTTTGGGTTCACATGTTATCCTGGATTTGGGACATTGTGGAGGGTGCATCACTCTTGGTAACAAATATCTTTTTTTTTTTTATCACCAAGACATGTGGTTAAAACTAAATTTGCCAGTGATGGACAGAACAATAAAGAGTAAGATGCCTTTCATTTCCTTCACAAGTTGATAAGAAGCATGTAGTGCAACACACAATACCTTGGTATACATTTAGGATAATGTTATCAAGAGCATCCAACAGAGATAGAGGGAAATGAACACTGCCATCTTATAGAGCATAAGAATTAGTCATAAACAACACAGATACTTCTGCCCCAGCCTCATATTTACTGCAGAATGACTAAAATATCCACTGCATATCACCACTCAGAGACTAAGTCCACCACACCCTCTAAGTTGACTTGAAGTGCTAATAAAAGGGGAGTACAAGTGGTGCCGTCTCCAGTCTAGGGAATAAATTGAAAGTAGATGAGGTTTGGATTTTTTATTCACATGATACCCTGGTTTTGGGACCTCATCTCTTAAGGGTGCCTTGCTCTTGGTAAGAATACTTACATTTACACATTGATGACACTAACATAGGGAAAATTTAATAAGGGGGGAAAGAACTACACTCACTGATAGGCAGAGTAATCTGCATAGCCAAAGACCAATGTCACATGTACACTAAGTCCATGGCCATCAGGTAGGGGTTTGCTTTTATGTTTCTGGATGCCCAGGAGTATCTCCAAGGTTATTAACTAGAATAATTGGGAATTAGTCTCAGAGACACTTTCACTAATACCCAAAGAGTTCTTTTGTGAAGGAAAACAACTGATTAACACAGAACACCCTCAATATTTAGGAAATAATCATGTTGCAAGGTTGGAAGAATTTGTGAAACTAAATTTCACTAAATTTGCATAGTGAGGGAGGTACGTGCCATGCCCTTTTCTTTAATTTTTTAGATATTTGATCTTATATTGCTTTTACTAATGTCAATAACATTATAGTAATTATATCTATAACAACAATAACACCATCAGTATTCATAGTATTAGTTTAAAAAAAAAGTTTTCATGCCAATTCAAGGAAAGGTGAAATCAGGTATGGTCACTCCTTTGTGGCTAAGCACTTGCAGAGTCATCTGTGTGCAGAGAGATTTTACAAAAAAATTTAAAATGGGCACAGTATTTTCCCGGCGACACTGAGTTAATACAGCTTATGGTTTACTGTCTCCCCCAATATTTAATTAGAAAGTCACTGTCTCTTTCTAGTTGGATTTTTTAAATTCAAAATAGCACATTTTTCCCAAGAATCATTTTTTGTTTTGTAATTGTTTCTAGGCTCTGCTGGTCATTTTTCATATTGTTAGATTTTTTTCCTTGCAGATTGTTATGAGCTGTCTTTTTCTGTTCAAAAGTATGCATTATTTATCCCACCACATTTTATTAGGTTTCTCTTTGTATTCTTAAATTCCTAAGTGAAAGCATTTTGGAAACCAAATTTCTAATTGATTTGAATTTTCTCTATTGATGTAGGCTTTCTGTTTATGAATTGATAGTCAGCCTTCTCTATTAAAGTCCCACATTTACTCTTCAAAAAGAATGAGAGTAATATCTTTTATCATTATTGGGAGATGGTCACTCTAGGTAGGGAACAATGTTTATCTGTAATTGACTTCACCCCAATCATGATGGGAGCCCCCATATAATATCCAACAACATGTCAGGGTGCATGTGGAGTCAGCTGCTCAAGGGAAAAATAAGAAACACAGGCATCATTAACCCCTTGGAACTGGATGCTTCACTGCCATCATATGGCCCCAAAAATAGGCATTAGGCTTATGTAAGTGGCTGCTCTTGATGGGTGCACGGCTTGTAGGCTGAGTTCATGCAAATACTTGTGTGTGCGGTGACAAGACTCTTTGCCTCCTCTTTGTAATGTTATTTTCTCTTTTTATAAACTTCATAAGCTTTTTAGCTTTTTTGCCATTTTTTAATGTTCATCTTTGTCATTTGATTTGCTCTAGCAAAATTTTTTCATGATGTGATGTGGCACAAATGATATGTAAATGTTGAGGTGGAAAGGAGGTCTTCAGCCTACTTTTGAGAGCTATATCTCCTCAATGAATGCAACTGTGGCCAAACAAATGTGCAACTGTTTAGCTTGCATAATGTAGAACAGACTCGATTACACATAATGGTAATACCTTATCCCAGTGTTAGGGGATATGCCAATTACAAATTCTGTTGATTCTTTTGCACTTTTTGGGTCAGTTCTTGATGAGGTTGTTAAATGTGATCCATTCTGTTATAATTGTCTTTTTAGCTTGTCCATAACTTCATATTGAATTTCAGTGTCAATTTTGACCTTTGTTATATTCAGTTTCTGCTGTAAGTGCAAGGGTAATATCAAGAGAATATTTTTTGCAGTTGTTCCTGTATTTTTTCCCCTTAATGGTTTGATTTTGTAACTATATCCCTAACAGCAAACTTATTGAATTGTGTTGTAGCTCATACAAACTGCCAAACACTTGGTTAATTCCATCATCTCCAATCAGTACATTATAAATTAGATTGAATATCTTTTTCTTTCAACCAGGTTTCATTCAAGGCTGTTGGACCCTATATTTCCTTCTGGGATTCAATATTTTTAGTATGGAGCTTGTATATCAAATTACTAAGGTTTCCATATTAGAAATCAAACATCTTTCAAAGTTTCTTTCTCTCTCTTATGGCTGCTGTGATATCTTTTTGTATATATAATTTTCTAACACACACACATACATACATACATATATATATGCAAATATATTCTAGTAGCCCCAGGAATGGGAAGATCTTTCCCAGCATTTCCAGATTAAATTACAGTAAAGTTCTGTTGTGCTTTCAGGAGATAGAGAGTTGGTAGAATTCCTACAAGAAGAAATAGTGGCTGAGAGGAAGACAATGGCCAGTGGTGTTCCTTCACATGTAGATGATTTTAAAGTTAATGTTAATGATGCAGAGGTTACTCTTACAAAGAACTTCCATGATGAGGTGTAAGTAATCATTTGATGTTTTTTTGTTTTTTTCATTAGTGTATATTTTTGTATATATGCTTGTTTACACATACTTGTACATACATAGATTTACATATATATTTATCTAAACTTGTATCTGTTACACCCAGTTTTAAGAGAACACTAGAAGCGACAACTATATGATTGTTTATATTATCATATTACAGCTCGGATTACTATGATATAAAACTTTAAGTAAAATCATTGAAGTATAAACCCACTCATCACAGATTTATGCAATGTCTCCTGTAGTATTTTGTGAATTTTGTTTACATACACATGGCTCTACATGTGCTCTGCCAGCAAGGAGTCTATCAGTAGTTCCTGCATTCAGATCCCACACTGCCAGTGGATATTAACCTGCACCATTCCTTGCACACTGGGTAATTTAAAAGCAAAAATAACCAGCCTTTTACACAAAACATAAGGATAACCCTTGTAACAGTTGCAATAAAGCTAAATTATATTATTATTACTCTCTCTCTCTCTCTCTTATCTCTAGTTTCTCATCTCTCTTCATCTATCTCCTTTCTCCTCCCTCTCCTTTCTTTCTCCCTTTCCCTCTCCATCCCATATATGCAACAGAGTAAATTCAGATTCTTTCTCATCTTCACCAGCATTACTATCAGCCTCAACGTGAATCACACAGTAGACACTGAAGCCCCTGCTGAGTTGAGCCAAGACCAGTCTGAGGGAGAGCTCAAGAGCCGTCCCAGCTTTGAAGTTGATCTCAAGGTTGGCTCGAAAACCCTGTCGTTCACATGCTCTTACACAGGGCCAAGTGACATTACAGAAGGTCAAGACCAGATTGATGGTATGTATGTTCAGTGGAGTGAACTTGCTGTTGGTTTTGTTATTGTTTCATATTATAGGATTTCAGTTATAGCTATTACATGATCAGACAAATTGAACAAGAAATATATTAAATGAATATGTTGAATCACACATTCACATACGTGTATGTGTGAAAGGAAAATTGAAATAAACTGCAGAGAGCTGTATGATTTGGAAGCAATTTAATTTTCAAGATGTTTACAATGCAAGTCAAGTCAGTTCTCAGGCAGTGTCTTCTTTGTTTTAATCCATTTTTATGAAAAGAGGGATCTTGAGATTTAAGCCATGTTCTAAAGTAATGTCCAAATGCATGGAAGCAAAAGTGTTAGTATTAAAGCTTGTGGTCATAGGTGCTCAGTTAGAATAACGTTGAATGCATAATGTATTGTGATTTTTGGTAAAGTTGTTAAATATCCGATTGAATTTCATATTATATACAAGTTTACCTACAACACAAATTTACCCACATAGAAATATGTATGTATATTTGTTGGTTAATGAATTACATTTTTTCTAGATGTTTTTGGTATCAATGAACTCACCATGTATGAGGGCGAATGGAATGAAGAAGTCTACTGTGTTTCTGGAGATATTTTGGATGGCGTAAGTAAGAACAGTTTCCAGAACACCACTATTTGGGAAGATTTATTAAATGATTTTTGTTAGTCATATCAGATGTAATAAAACTGTAAATGCATTTTATTTGCAGATGATGTATGACCTTCTAATGAACATGTTGGAGGAGAGAGGAGTCACAAATGAATTTGCAGAGAAATTAAGCAATCTCTGCTCAGACTATGAACATTCTTTATATGTTCATTTACTTCAAAAAGTGCAGGACTTTGTCAAGAGGAAATAAGTGAGAAACTCTTGAACTGACAACAAATCACCACAGTATCATCAAGCCCAAAATTTCAAGTTAATGAATGGTCTGCCTTGTAAAAGTAACCATTTATGCTCAATTCTGAGTGTAAATGCATCAGATATTTCTTGTATTGGATATATCTAGGGCTCTTCATTTTCAATTTTTTTTTGTTTTTAATAGTTACATAAAAACAAAGATTTTGATCATTAATAAAAAACTACAAACTTTATATGTTTACAGTTTGTTCTGTTGTATAGCTTTTTATATTTATCAGTTAATGGTATCGTCTTTGCAGAAGGCAAGACAATGTAAGTAATATGTACAGAAGAAGTCTAGTTTGTATGGCCATGAGTATTTCTTAATAAATACCAAAAATTATTTCCAGTGCTATTTTGATTCCTATAAGTAATATATTCTATTTAAAGGCCTCCCATCCTTTTACTCTAATCAGTAGTAGTCTTCTTTTGGTCAATATTTGAAAAAATTAATGCTAATATACTGTCCCTTGTTTCTACGGTTTTCAGTAATATAATACCTTTTTTAACTGCAGTACTTTTTTCTATTTTACTTTAAAACCTTTGGTAGTCAGTCTGTTGTAATATAGTGTATTCAAAAGGAGTAGAAAAAACTAATTTTTAGAAGAAATAAATGTGCTAGGCATCAAAGGTCATATAGCACTATGGGAAAGTATTGTGACGAACAGGGTGATAATGTGTTAACCCATTCATGCCGGGTGTCACGTATACGTGACATGCCCACTGTGAGTTTACTTGTTTAATTGTTTTAACGCATAGATGGCTACACTTGTACTTGTACTGCCTGTCTCGCCTGTTTACCCTTTTCTTTAATTTACGAAAATATTTTACGTTATTTTATTTTGCTGTTACTAATGTTTATAACATTATAGTAATTATAATGTTTATAATAAAGATAACCAATATTCATAACACTAGTAAAAATACATTTTCCCACCAATTGAAGGAAAGGTGAAATCAGGTAAGGCAGAGCCATCTAGTGTAGAGACATGTCACAAAAAAAAATATAAAAAATGAGCACAGCATTTTCCCCATTTTTTGTTTATTTTTACTCGTCGCGAATGGGTTAATGATCAGGATAAGATGTGTTACATGTCACAGGTTGTAGAATGTAGGGTCGAGTGGAGAGTATGTGTCTGAGGAAGGGAGGGTAACACTGAGGATATTGCAAAATAGCTATTATGAACAATCAAATGGTAATACGGTAAGAAACGATAGTTGTAGAAGTAGGAGAATTCTGAGAATTAAATATAGGAACAGGGGAAGGTAGTGAAGTATCAGGAAAACTGTCATGAGGGAAGGGATCTGCAAAAGGACATTGTTTTGACTGAAGGGAGTCAGATGAGCATCTAAGTGGGGGTGGTAAGTATAATGGGGAAGGAAGAGGGATTGGTGATGCACATGGAGGAGGAGAGGATGGGGTGTTTTTCGGGTAAGTGCGAGGAAGGGGGGTAGGGGGGAACTTGAAGAGGAGGAGGATGGATATCGGCAGATACTTTGAATGTCGAGTGAATAAAGGGAATAGAGGGTGGATGAGGGAGTGGATCATTCTCTTGAGCCATATTTATGAACATTTGGAGGTCTCCAAGAGTTTCTGGAGGGGAGTTGGCTGAGGAGGTCTGAAAAACAAAGGTTTTCTTATGTGAAGGAGAAGAGAGAATAGATGTCCGAGGAGCAGAGGGAGAGGTAGGTGTAAGAGAGGATGTGGTAGTTGATGTGGAACGTTTAGATTGTTTGGTGTGACAGGTAGAGTGAGGAGGAGGAGGGGGAGGGGTAGGCACTGGGGAAGTGGTAGAGATTGGAGTATCGGGATTTAGACTGGATAAAGAATTTGACTGGGGGAGAGAGGTAGTAGAGATAGGTTCAGGGTAGAGGAAAGAGATACTGGGGAAAATAAAACTTCTTGAGAGCAGAGCAGAGCGAAGTGTAGTTTTCAAATAGATAGAAAGAGAAAAACTTGTGTGTGCTGCTTGTCTGGCCTCACACAGAATGAAGCCTAGCTTGAATCTGAGAGCTGCTACTTCAGATTCGAGCTTGTAGGCCGGGCAGCTCCTATAAAATACATTATGGGAGCCGCCACAATTGGCACATGTGCGTGACTGAGCAGAGCAATTTGAATGGTCATGACCAGGTTGGGCACATATAGAGCAGTGGACTGTAGACCGACAGTGTTTGGCTGGGTGGCCAAAATGTCAATATTTCTAACAGTGACGGGGAAGAGGTCAATATGGTTGGACATAAGAGTACACTCCACCAATATAAACTTCATGGGGGAGGTCATGTCTACGGAAGGTAATCTTGGTAAAATAAGACTTTCGTTGGACTCTTGGAAGAATAGTACAGCACTCAACTGCCACTGCATAAAAGTCAATAAGGCACGTGAACCAGTTGTATCCACAGTCTGACCAGTCCCTGTTGTAGACAGGACAGTCAGTCGGAGAGACAGAAACCGTTCCGCTACAAGTATTAGGGAAGGAGTGAGGTTAGGCAGGAACGGGTTTAACAGTGACGTCAGGCTGGGTGGATTGTGCATATACTTGGGACTCAGATGTAACTGACAAGGAGTGAACAATCGGAATGACTGTGAAAGGAAACTTTGCCTACCTGTTTTTTTAAGACATTGTTAGAAGAGAAGGGTATTTTCAGAGTACGGGGCTGTATAGGGAATCGCAAAGAATTGACCCCAACTGGCTGGGTCAAAAAGGGTACTCAAAAGGTTTGTAGAGGTGCAAGCAGTAGAAGGACGAGGGCAGGAGGAAGATGGGGAGTTATGGAGAATTTTGTGAAGGCGGAGGACAAGGATGAATAGTAGCAATAAGGGGGAAGGGGGTAGACAATGAAGATTGTACAGTAGAACATGGAGTGGAGGATGTTGGGAGAGAGAAAGGGATGCATTCTGAAGGTTGATTTGGAATGGATAGAGTTGTCCGCAAATACCGCGGAGGGGGTATTAGTATCTGTCAGAGCCATGGTCAAGGGAGAGGGAGAGGTCGGGACATCAATGACATCAAATTTAGATAGGCTACTTAATAAAGGGGCAAACCTTAATGCCCCTAATAAAGGTAAAAACTAATTATTGGCCATGGTGAGCCTGAAACAGGAAGAGGAAATGGTCTACCCTTCACCGTGCCCATGGCTTCAGGCCGTTCATGACTGACACAAAGCCAGCTTTTCATCCTTTCAGCATGGCTCTCATACCTTAGGACATGGACAGAAAAAGGGATGAAGAAGAAAAGAAAAGGAAAGGGGGAGAAGAAAAGACCGTGTAAAATTAGTCGAGGTGAGGACTGAGGTCCAAGGTAAGGGTGATCCACTACATTGGGCCCCAGTCTCCATCTCCTAACTTACAGCCACAGCGATGAAGAAAAAGAGAGCTTCAATAAAGATGTTCATTTAGTCGGTGAGAGAGTAAAAATTCATTTCACAATAATTATGGGAGATTATAATGCCAAAATAGGTAAAAAGACAGAAGGAGAAACCGTAGTGGGGAATTACGAAATAGGCACTAGGAATGCTAATCGATTTTGTGGAGGCTCAATCACTCAATATGAATATATTCTTCGAAAAAAGACTAGAGCAGAAGTAGACATAAAAAATTAAATTGATTTCATAATTTCATATAGGCATGGTATAATAATACATGTGGAATTTATTATTAAAGTAAATGTTGGCAGCGACCATAGAATGGTCAGAGGCCAAATTAAATTACACCTCGGAAGGGAAAGGAATAAGTTCATACAAAACCGCAGCCAAATTTAGCTAACTCGAAGACCAGAGCGACAGAATTTAACTTTAACATCCAAAACAGATATTTATCTCTCGGCGACGAAGATCTCAACATTGATCAAATCAACAAACAGTTCAACGGTGTAATAATTGAAGCTGCACTTGAAGTAAGCAGTAAGAACGTCATGCAAAGCTCCTGCAAACTCTCAGTAGAAAGTAAATAGCTTATGCAAAAACATAGGGTCATGAAAGTATCGTCAAACAGAGGCAAAATAGAATTAGCTGAACTAATAGAGATATGTACCGAATTACAATACTCGTATAATAAATGAAACAGTGATCTCCGGTACCAGCATGAAAACAGCTAAAAGGAGACTCGGAGTAGGGAGAAATTAAATGTATGCAGTAAAGAAACTAGACCTGCCCATTGCCATTTTTTTTTTTCTTATTGATGCTCCCAATTTTTGTCTGATTCCTGATCCATGTTGCTCTCATCTGATCTCTTAGGCTAATTCCATCTCTCTCTTGGCACTTGTTAATTGCCTCTCTAGTAATTTGAGTGTAGTCCAGTTTCTGATCCATATGTCATAACTGGGAGGATGCATTGGGTAGACTGTTCTTTTTAAACATAATGGCAAGAAGCCTCTTAGTATGTTACTGTGTCTACCGAAGGCACCCCAGCCTAGACATGTGTCGCTTCATTTCCTCTTCGCTAGATGTGTTTGTACGAGTTGCCATAGGTATATATACTTGTCTACTACCTCTAGCGCTTCGCCTTGCACATGTATCTGTTCGAAATGAACTCGACTGTTGAACATGATCTTAGTCTTTCTTGTTTATCCCAAGTCCAGACTTTTGCAGATTCACTGAAGAGAACAATATCATCTGCAAATCTTAGACTTAGTATTATCTCCTATTTTTTTATACCTTTTCCGTTTCATTCTAGCTTCTTAAATATTTCCTCAAGGAAAACTGTAAACATGTTTGGTGAGATGGTGTCGCCCTGTCTAACACCTTATTTTTATTGGTATTTTATCGGTTTCCGTGTGGAACTTGATGGTTGCTGTCCCATCTTCGTACATATCTCCCAATATTTTACAATATACCTACTCTACTTCCTGTCTTCAAATAGCTTCTAGTACTGCTGGTATTTGTACAGAGTCAAATGTCTTTTTGTAATCAATGAAAGCCATACACAGGGTTTCCTATATTCGTTATATTTTCACTAATCCACTGCGGAAGCCTGCCTGTTCTCTAGGCTGGTTAGAATCCAGACTGCCAGAGATGCGAGTTGTGGTGACTATTTTGAATGATTTGTAATTGGAAGGCTTATGGGTCGGTAGTTTTTTAGATCCTTTCTATCCCCTTTTTATGTATCAAAATAATTGTTGCATTTTTTTCAGACTTCCGGAGTTTTTTTCCTTGAGAAGGCATTTGTTAAAAAGATTGACTAGTTTCACTGTTGTAATTTCTCATACATCTATTATAAGGTCTATACTAATTCCGTCTTCACCTTTTCCCCTCTCTTCATACCTTTAAGCGCTCTTTTTATTTCTTCTGTTGTGGAGTTAGGTACGTCTCTAGTTACAGTGTTCTCTTCTATTCGTGGTTGTTCAT